CAAGTATGCCACATAAATACCAGGCAATGACCATTTCATATAAGAGACAATCTGAACTTTGCCCTTTGGCATTCAGTGGCTTTACCAACCAATATCAACATCCTGATGGTTGCCATTGACCAGAAACGCATCTGGTCTTGCCATATAAATATACTGGCAACAAGAGCAGGATCAGATGCTAGGAATACCGCAGCAAGTAACTCTCCTGCTGACTCCCCAAAGCCTGTCAACCCCACTTGCCTGGATGAGTGCAGCTCCAACAATACTCAAGAAGCTTTACACCATCCAAGACAAAGCAGTTTACTTTATTGGCACTACTCACTCCACCACCGACGCTCAGTAGTAGTAGAAAGAGAGAGAGAGAGAAAGAAGAAAGAGAAAGAAAGAGAGAGATTGAAATAAGAGAGAGATTGAAGAAAGAGAGAGAAGGAAGAGAAAGAGAGAGCGAAAGAGGAAAGACAGAACGTAGAAAGAGAGAGAGAGAAATAAGAAAGAGAGAAAGAAGAAAGAGAGAGTAAAAGAAGAAAGAGAAAGAAAAGAAATTGAAAGAAAGGGAGAGAGATAGAAGAAAGAGAGATCTGCAAGATGCGCTGTGGAAATTCACCAAACATCTTTATACGGCTCCTTCCAAACGCACCACTTCCATCTAGGAGGATCAGGGTAGCAAATACATGGGATAACCACCACCCGCAAGTTTCCCTCCAAGCCATTCTTCCACTGTCACTGGGTCAAAATCTTGGAATTCCTTCCATAATGGCATTGTGGGACAACCTATAGCATATGGACTGCATTGGTTCAAGAAGGCAGCTCCCAGTGCCTGTTTAAGGGCAACTAGGACAGGCAATAAATGATGGTCAGTGGCATCCATATCTCACGACAAAATAGGCAAAAAGAAATCTGCAGCAGGAATGAATTGGGAGTGTGGATGCAGGCCATTCAGCCCATCAAATCCACACTGACCCTCTGAAGAACATCCCACCCAGGCCCACCACCCTCCCTATCCCTGTATCCCTGCATTTCCCATGGCTAATCAACCTAGTCTGTACATCCCTGGACACTATGGGCAATTTAGCATGGCCAATCCACCTAACCTGCACATCTTTGGACTATGGGAGGAAACCAGAGCACCTGGAGGAAACACGGCCAGACACAGGTAGAATGTGCAAACTGCACACAGGCAGTCGCCTGAAAGCAGAATTGAACCCGGGTCCCTGGCGCTGTGAGGTAACAGTGATGTCCCAGCGTGATAGTTACATATAATTTCTCTCCTTACAAAATGGAAAAGTTTGATAAAGAGGATGTGATCTCATGCAATATCTGCACAGAGACAATCCCATGTGAACTCACACAGTTAATGAAATATTTTCCTATAGTTTGATATATTAGTTGCTTACTAAACAAAACTTAGTTAAGTTTGATTTTAATTTGTTTGTTACATTAAAAGTCTTAAAATGTGAAATCTTGCAGTGTGATCTCTTGCATCAATTACTGGGAAATTAGATATTTTTTAAACAGTGATCGGTCTTGACAGGGATTTTAACAGGAGCTACGGCATAGAATCAATTGGCCAAAAGACCTCTGAGCCATAATGAATTGATAACTCCCGAGGCCAATCCCTCATACTTTTCAATTCCAAGGCATTCCCATCTTTATTCCACATCCTTCAATCAAATTAATTGTTCATTTGTCTTAACTTCTCTGTCCTCTGATAACCTGCCTAATGCACGTGAGATGGAATGAATAATTTTGCATCACATTTGTTTTCTTTTCTGGTAGTATAAGGACATTTTATGACTTAAGTCAGTTACGTCTTCATTTACAAATCTTTTACTACAATTCTAATGTTGCTATGTGCTAGGAAAGGATATCAAAAGTTGTTTTTAATGCATTAAGTTTTGCATGAGCTCATCCCAATTAGTCACCTTTATGGAGCTGAAGGTTACTAATTGCCTCAATTTCATTCCTCTTTTCCAATTCTGAAGAGAGTTCTGTTGGATTTTTGAGCCATGAGTAATGGTTTCTACATTGTAATCAACAATTACTTTCAGAGATTTAACATTTGCACTCCTTATGGCAAAGCACTCATTCATATTGCTTGGAAGGTTCACCACCACGTGGTAGAATGTGACATTCAAGAATATAGCCACTAGCAGTTCAACTTACATCTGCATGCACTGTGCCCACAGACACTTAACTGCACTACAGTGTAAGTGGTATGGAGAGTAATTACTGATGCCTTGTTGTTACTGTATTTACTTATAGTGTTGAAGAGGGCTTGAATAACATATATATTCCCTATAAATAATGTGTATAGAGTCAAAATACCTGCAGTCCCTATAATATAAAGCACATTGGTCAAAATACCTCGTCAATCCACTCTCCTGAACTGTCTCACAATAAAATTGTTGAGATTTCAAATACTTAAAATATAAAGTTCTAAATTATTCTTAGAATGAAGTCATCACCTATCCAGTTTTGTTCCATGGGCAATCTCATTTTTCAACACATGAATCAGTAAATGAGAGAGCAAGATATGACTCTAGAACTTTGACAACTCTTGGAACATGCCACAGAATGTAGTACTGTGTTAGAATTTTTTTTTGCCTTAAGAATATCTAGGTAATGTGACTTTGCAATGCATACTTGCCAGCTTACATTCTTAGACATAACAGTACATACCTGAATATATAGAATTCCACATCTCCTCCAATATGCTAGCAAAGTTCTGGAGTAAATATTAGTCAGGGACGAAAATGGTATTGGAGTGAAGACCAGACCTAGAATGCGTTTGTCTGTGGCTTTGGACTCCTTACTTAAGAAAAGATATATCTGACTTCGAGGCAGGGAGGGAGCGGTATGAGGCAGAATGCGGTATGCTGCTGTGATTACTGTTAAATGAAATCTCTTGTTACACAATAACAAGTAGGGAACTTATTTTTTTAAAAGGGATCCCAATATTCAACACACATGCTGAGACGTATTCCCTACAGACCTGTGGTAACAGTGACACTATTTCCAGCAATCCTGTTATTGTGACCTTGTTTTGTATTCAATGCAGATATTTGCAAAATGAAAACAGAAAATGCTGGAGAAATCCAGAAGCCGTGCAGCATCTGCGGAGAAGGAGAAGTTTTGAGCCCAATATGACTCTTCTTTGAAACAGCATTGTGTAAAACCAATTAGAGCGACATTTGAAGGCTGCTGCGATCATGCTCGTTATTTATCCGTTTTATATTCTTCACAAGTCACGACTGGATCAACAAAAGCAAAAGTTCTAATACAGACCACTTCCTCTCTGGTTCTGACCATAGGCTGTTGGCGAAAGAAACCCACCTTTGTCTAAAAACAATCTGGTTAATGTTAGAGCCCTTGAGAGGGTTTAAAGGCTGCCTATCATTTTACATGTGATGGCTAACTGATTGGTTAGAGCCCTGCAGATCAGACCCCACTTGCACCTTTCACAGCCCGTGTGGAGCTGTCCAAGGAGTTGGTGCTGAACTCACGTTCCAAAAGATCCGCCTCACTTGTAATTTAACCACTTAACACATTCAACTCCTGGCCAAACCAGTATCGTTCTTCATTTTTCAGAACAGGAACTGCAAGTCAGTGCGTTATCTGGAGGTCCACTCTGATTGGAAAACCCAGTAACAAATGATTGCGGGTAGCGGCGGATCGGGGAAGATGTAACATTAATTCCCAGGGAGAAAATTGCAGTTTACAGTTTTAATTGCCAGAATGCGTTGTTATCTCTGGCGGCACTCGGCCAGCTCCTGTTTGGAGGCGGGAGGGTAGTGATTGTGAGGGGAAGTCTCAGTTTCAAATCTTAGGCGGAGAGATGGTCTCCAACTCAGAGGCGATTCCAGCAAGTTATTTTCTATTCTGTATAACCACGCAGCGTTTATAACCAGAGCCAATGGGATATCTTCAGGCACACTGCTCTGCCTCTTGCAAGTTATTCCAAGTTATCATGCCATTTTAGAGTCTATAGCGGCGGGACAATTCATTAACAAGCATTGTTGAATAATATAAGGAATACCTCGTGGATGAAGGGGGGGGGGGGGGGGGGGGGGGAGCGGAACCACCTCACTCAAGCTGCTTTGGCATGAGAAGGCGTCAATCATCTGCTATTGGACATCGCTTCGACCCACATTTATTTAAAATAAGGCACATTGTCCAAAACGGGTTATCATCTAGTGGTTATCAGAGAAAGATTCCCAGTTTGGAACAGGACAAAAAAAGCAAATGCTTTCGAGTCTTGTGGCACAGTGAGAGTGTTTCTATGTCCCGCGGGTTCAAGTCCCACCTTGGTGGTGTACATTGCTGTTCTAATGACTGTTTCAACATTGTCCAAAGCAGCATTCTCTTCCTCCGCCTTGAGTTCACCCCAGCCAGAGGTGCAGAAATTGACAGCTCCGTTGTTAGCACAGCTTTTGCGATCCGAATTTGAAAAGATTTTAAGTCTGTCCCAAATCACAAAGTTTTGAAACAGAAAATCAGTGGAGTAAACTGCAACAGAGCGGCGCTACGTGAATGAATATCTGTTGGCGCACAGTCTCATCGCCAAGCGCCTCAGCACTTTTTGCAGTCTCTTTGATTTATAATCATAGATCTTTGTTTTGCTTTCCCCGGCACTGCGAATGTTTTGTGTTTTGCGCCGTGCCCTGCTGAGGTTACAAACATATCTGAAAATTAAGAATGTCGAAGAGCGCGGGCAGTGGGCGAAATTGAGTTATATTAAAGCAACAAGCTCGCATTGAAAGCAGTGCGGTATTCCAGTTGGCCACGTCAGTTGCAAATGATTTAATTGTCTGCTTCTCACTGGGAATGATGTGGCTGCACCGTTCACAAGATGCTGCTTCAAGAGACTGTGAGCAGCAACAGGCTTTTCAAAATTCTCTGTTCTGCTGCTCGCTGCACAGAACCTGAGAAGCAACTTAGTGCACATTTTCAAACCCTGCCGGCTGTGCTTTGATGCAGAAAGACCAACCGCTGGACTGAAAATGAGGGGCGAACTCAATGAAAGCTGCACCCAGCGGGAGAGCAGTTCGGCGAATGGAACTCTCCCCACTGGGAACAGGCCAGTGGCGGCCAAAATAGCTGTGCTCAGCTTCGTCTTCGTCCTGGCAACTCTGGGCAATTGTATCTTCCTCTGCACCCTGTGGCGAAAGCGCAGGAATAGCAGCCGCACCCGCCTCTTCCTCTTCCACTTGTGCACCGCTGACCTGGTGGTCGCTTTCTTCCAGGTGCTGCCCCAGCTCTTGTGGGAGGTGACCGACCAGTTCAAGGCCCCCAATGCGGAATGCAAAGCCGTCAAGTACCTGCAGGTCGTCGGGATGTTTGCTTCCACCTACCTGCTGGTGGCGATGACCCTGGATCGCCACCAAGCCATTTGCCAGCCCATGACTGCCATCACCAAGGCCTCCTGGCAGAGGTACCTAACCGTGGCCATGGCCTGGAGCTTCTCGCTGCTCTTCAGCCTCCCTCAGGTTTTCATCTTCTCCATTGAAGAGGTGCAGCCACGGGTGTCCGAGTGCTGGGCCACCTTTGTCAAACCTTGGGGCCGGAAGACCTACATCACTTGGACAGCTTTGGTCATCTTTGTGATCCCAACGGTCATCCTGATCATCTGCCAAGTCAAAATATGCAGAACCATTTACCTGACTGGGCAAACCAACAGGCTGAAAAGGATCACATTGACAGAAGCCAATGTGCAGGGGGCACAAAAGCGCACTACCAAGCAGATACCCAGCTCCTTACTAAAAGCACTGAGGATGACGTTTTTAGTAGTGATGCTGCACATTCTTTGTTGGGCACCATTCTTCATTGTGCAGCTCTGGTCTGTTTGGGACCCAACTGGAGGACCTATTGAGGGTAAGTAAGATCCCATTTTCTCTCCCAAATGAAAGAAGGCAGGTGTAGCTGAAACCTACAGTGCAGGGTGCCTCCACTTTCAACTATGGTTCACACTCAGTTAGGTGCTCTCTGCTATGGGAGAAAGAAGGGAATACTCATTTGGATTTCTCACTCCTGATTGCTATAAAGAAGCAGAAGGTGAAATATGAAAATGCAGGGCAAAAGGTCACAATTGAACTTATGTTGACGCCCAATAACTAACAAGAGTACTTAGTCTGACAGTAAACGTTGAGGACATCTGTACAAAGTAGCAAAATATAAAAACTTTTCAGCAGCAGAAGTGAAGAGTATCTACATGCCCATTTGCAGCAACTTGGGTTGAAACTTAACACAACTTTGACCGGATGAAAACAGGGTGAGATTTAAACAAACGGGGTAAGGACAAATCCTATGACTGACAATTGCTGCAGGAAGCTGCACTCAGGAGGGTTTCTGCACTTAAGCCTCACTTTATAAGGATGACAGCAGAACTGAAAGGATTTACTTGGCAGAAATGACTGAACAGACTGGGGCTCTTTTAGGTAGCTATCAAAACATTGAATGGTGACATAAGAATTATCATGAACATTACGAATGAGTTTCACAGGGTAGGAGATGCTTCATTTGTGGGTCAAAACCTAGGAACTAGAAATATGATGGTCAATACTAAATTCAGGAAAGATTCCAGAGAGTGGTTAGACATAGCATGGGGAGTGTTGTGCCCTCCCATGTGTCAGGTTCAGTAGCGGACTGGAACTGAATGAAGTTAGAGTGTAGAGAAACCTTCCCATCTCCATCTCGACTGAGTCTGCCTGTGGCCAGCCTTCCTACCTCACCACCAATTGACAGTTTATAGTTGGACTGTATTTATGGCCAATGCTACCTCTATATCAATCACCATGCAAGCATGTGTGCAATTAGTGTGTTTTATTAGAATGCAATAACAAGGGTTCTTGTCATGGGGTGATAGTGGCCCTATCTCAAAGCCAGGAGTGGAATATTCGGAGTGTAGTACAGATACAGTGCAGGACAGGGGAAGGGGACGGGGACAGGGAATCAGTTCAGTCACATAGAGTATTTTGTTGGCCAGCAATATTTAAACCACTTCAAAGTTCAGAATCCACTCTGAGTTAGAAACCAAGAATGTGAAAATAACATTTCTGAAGAAGGGTCCCGACCCAAAACGTCAGCTTTCCTGCTCCTCTGGTGCTGCCTGGCCTGCTGTGTTCCTCCAGCTCCACACTGTTTTATACCAGACATCTGTACTGTTTCATACAAAGGTTATGAACTGTTTCAGCTGCATATATTAAAATATCCCATGAAGAACACATGAGGTGCAATTAGCCAAATCTGACCAATAATGGTAATCAGTGTGAATCTAATTTCTCAACAACTATGTAATGACATGTTATTAGTCAAAATTGGTACTAATCAGAAAAGGTTCATCTTTTGAATTAAGACAAATGCATCAAGTATTCAACTGATAACCAAATAAACGAGTCAACCAAAACAGGAATGAAGAAAAATGCATGCACACAGCCTGTCCTGTAAGTAATCTGTAAATCTAGGATGTCAGTACAAATACAGCTTAATCCAATGCTAAAAATGTAAGTCAGATGTTATCAAGTCTTCACTATGAGCAAATTTTTGCCAAGGTCCAATATCTTCATTTCCTGATGTAAATATGTATGGATGCCAACTTGCACATTAATAAAGTATTCCTTTAAACTTTAGACAAAGCTCCAGAGATGCTGTGTAATTTGGCTATCTGGGTAAACATCTGCAGGAAGTGGATTTTATGTAGTCCCAGGGAACCTAAGGGGCCAGAAGAAATTAGGGAAGACGAATTTGTGAAAATAATTCTCACAAACTGGGAGGGTGGGAGGTGCAGGGAGTAGTAGGAAGTTATTCTTTCACATGGTAGGAATGTGCCAAAGTACTTCTCAGTCAATGAATTGCTTGAATTAATGATTCAATTAGCAAATTAATTCCTGTTGTTTCTCGGGTAATATGGCAGTCAATTTAACCATCACACTGTTGCATGATCAAGAAAATGCCCAAATAATCTATCTTTGTTGGGTCAGTTAGGGATCACCAGGAGAACTCACTCTTTGAATAGTGTGCTGAAGTTTTTTTATCAGTAAATCGTATGTAGAGCAAGAACGTTTTAAAAAGGTATTTGATGGTCCAAGTTGCTCTCTTTTTGTTTTCCTTCTAGCTTCTGGAGTACTATAATCATTCTAAATAAAGTTTTGTCAAACTTTACACCCATAAAAGTTCATATTTTGGCTTTTCAATAATCAGTTGACATCCAACACATCAAATTGTTTTTTTTTCAGAATACAGATGTTAAAATATTAATCCTTTGGAGGGGTATGGATATCATATCAATTAATGAGCACTTTATGGTTCAATTAAAGAAATACCACTTTTGAATCTGTAGTGTTTAGGCTTCTTTATTTCAAAGTCAACACAATTTGTCCTTATTGTAGCTTCCAATAAAATTTAAGCTACCAAGGACAACAGTTCTCTAATTCAAGGTTCCAGGTCTATGCTGAGTGCTGCTTGAATGCACAGAATGTGAAACCACGGGATCGGCAAGTAAGGGAGTTCAGAGAAGAGGGAACCATGAATTAATTAAGAAAAATAAATAAATTTAATTAACACAAAGATGACCAGATAGGTGATGCATCACAGCTGCAGTATGTGGGAGTTTCTGGATGCCATGGCATGCCATACTACCACACCTGTCTGCAGCTTGAGATGCTTCACTCAGTTATTTTTTGTTATGGAGGCCAAACTATGGACATTATAATCAGGCAGGAGGAACGTTAGCTGAATGTTTTACTCCAGGCACTTCTCATCAGGGTAGTGTCACCTGATTTTGCCAGGGACAACAGGTGTTACTGCGAGTCCAGCTGGAAATGGATCAAAGAGAGTGGGAGTGGAGGGGCCTCATCACTTCCAATTGAGTGATAGATTCTTGCAGTTTGTATGGACAAGAATGTGAGTGGAATTGTGGATTACCAGACTGATCAAGGCATTCTGATACAGGAAGCCATTCAGTTGTGGGGAACTAACTGGAATATAGGGGAAACATAGGAAAGTATAGCCAGGAGACAGAGGCTTCTTTGCAGGCCAGAGTGAAAATACAGTGGCTGTGTTACCTGCATACCTGGGCTCTGGGCTCAAACTATCTGCTCAGGGCTGAAGAGGAACTTTCAGTGGAAAGGTAGAATCCAGTTCCTATGGTCCATGTATGGAACAATGACATAGCTAAGATTACAAAGAGGTTTTGCATGGGGAGTATGAGAAGCTCGGCACTAAATTAGAAAGCAGAACCTCAAATGTGGTAATCTCTGGAACATTACCTGAGCCATGTGCAGTTTGGCATCTGATAAATTAGACTTGAAAGATGAATGCAGGGTTCCAAGACCAGTGTCAGGTATAGTGGAGATAGTAGGAACTGCAGATGCTGGAGAATCCGAGACAACAAGGTGCAGGACTGGATGAACACAGCAGGCCAAGCAGCATCATAGGAGCAGAGAGGCTGACGTTTCGGGCCTAGACCCCGACCCTTTTCTGATGAAGGGTCTAGGCCTGAAACGTCAGCCTCTCTGCTCCTATGATGCTGCTTGGCCTGCTGTGTTCATCCAGCCCTGCACCTTGTTGTCTCAGGTATAGTGGATTCTGATTCATGGTGCACTAGTATCATGATTAAGGAAAGTGAGGACTGTACTACTGGGTTGGATATCATCTGAACCATGCTGGAGTCCACGTTCTAGCAAGTCAAGTAAGCATGGAAATAGAGAGGGATTTAAAGTAAATAGAGGGGAAAAGTACATTTAGGGGAGATTTGAGCAAGTTAAAGTGAAATGATGAGGCAATAGATCAAGGTGGCAATAAAGGTAATGATAATCAGAGTATTGCAGGAAGTGACAATGATTGCAAATCTCAATGTATCAGGGGATAAATCAAAAGGGCTTTTGCGCATTTGCTCACGAGTCACTGAATGTTGAGGAAAACCAGCAATTTAAGAAAGCAAATTGCAATTAGGTCTTTCATTCCAAGAGGATTTGTGTAGAAGTAAAGAAGCAAATCATTGCTGTGACCACATATGGAGCATGGTGTGCAGTTTGGTTTCCTTACCTATATATATACTTGTCATAGGAGGGCAATGAATGTTCAAAAGCTAATTTCTGGGATGGGGGGATATTTTCCAATGGAAAAAGGTTTAAAAGACTGCATGTACATTTTCTGGAATTTAAGAAAACGAGAAATCTCATTCAAACAGAAAATCTCTCCAGGGTAGATAGAGGAAGATTCGTGGTCATCATTAGATCCTTAATTCCAGATATTTTATTGAACCTGCGACCCCAGAATGCTATCCAGGTCTCTGGATTAACAGTCCAGCGGTAATATCATTGGGCCATTGCCTCCCTTGGGAGGATGTAATACAAAGAGTCACATTCAGAATAAGGGGCAGGCCATTTAGGACTGAGATAAGGAGGAATTTCTTCAAATAGTGCTGAATCTTTGGCATTTTGAGCATTGAGAAGGCAATGTGTAGATTCCAGGCTGAGATTGATAGATTTCTACATGTTAAGAACATAAAGAGATTTGGGGATAGTGGGGATAGTGGGGATAGGAAGATGGTGTTGGCATTGAAGTAGAAGATTATCCATGATCTTATTGAATGGTGGAGTGGGGTTGAAGGGCTGGATAGGCTATGCCTGCTCTTGTTTCTATATGTTACAGCATACCTTTTTGTTATTGTACAGCAATAGGAAAACCAGGGGGGTAAGTTAGCAAATACAGATGGTACATAACCAATGCAAATCTGATTACTGTGAGAATACCCTTTGGATGCCCTCATTTTAACCAAATAAATGCAAGTCATTCACTTCTAAGTGCTGTTGGCAATCTCGCAAGAAGGACCACACTGCAACTTGTAGCTGACATTTCACGTATATTTATAT